GTTAAGAGCACGGCTGCTCTTGTTAAGGAACCGAGTTCAATTCCCAGCACCCACACGGCCGCTAACAAACATCCAAAACTTCAGTTCCAGGGGAGTTTGATGCTCTCTTGGGCATTTCATGGCATGGGTGCACTTACATACATGTAGGTAATACATTGATATACAAAAATAAAATAAATATATTTTTTAGAATTATATGCGTATTATATAGCATTTTGTCATGACTCCATTTGTCTAAACTATTCCAGCTTCAAATATTCCACCCACCATTTTATATTAAGAGTAATATGTATGGATGTAATTACAACCATTTCATATTGATTAGATTACAATAACATAATCACATATAATCCATTGTGTTCTATATTATAATAAAGTCAAGTTTGTGTTATATAAGATTTTTCTGCAGTTTAGATGCTACCTATAATTATGTAGATACTTGTGACCTTTCTGGCTAACACAGGTAGTAAAGTTTTTTAAACTGCAGAAATAAAGTCCATGAAAGCATGGTAAAATCATGTTAAAAATGACTGGAAAAATGATAAAATCCCAACAAACCTGAAATGGTAAAAGGATCAGAGGTGAGAAAAAAGGAAAGTAAATGAGTGAAGTAAATTAGCGTTTTTAAAGTCATTTCTTTTTTAGAATTTTCATTTTTTTTCTATGTGTATGAGTGTATTGCCCTCATGTATATAAGTGTACCCATGTCATGCAATGCCCACAGAGGTCAGAAGAGGGAAAAGAATCCCCTAGAACTTTATCCCCTGGTATGAGATCCCCTGACTGGAGTTACAAAAAATTGTTAGCCAACAGGTGGTGCTGGGAATTGAACCCAGGAACTCAGCAAGAGAAGCCAGTGTCCTTAGAGTCATCTCTCCCAGCCCAAGAATTATACGCTCTAAAAATGTTCAGTTTGGAGTAAGGTAATTCATACTGCAGTCACAGAATAGGTTCGAAATTTGTTTTAAGTGCAGAAAATGTTAATTTGCTACCCGATAAAGTTCTTGTCATTCAAGAAAGTATAAATTGATTGTTAACTCTAACATAGCATGCTACCTTAATAAAATGTGGCAAATGTGGGGACATGGATTAGCTGGTAGTGTATGCAAGCATGGAAAACAGATTAATTCCCAGCACCAGCAGAAAAAGCTGGGCACATAGGCAGACATCTGTAAACCTAATATGACTTAGCCTGAGACAGGCAGATCCCAGAAGTCACTGAACACGCAACCTAGCCAACTGGTGAGCATCAGGTTCAGTGAGAGAGCCTTCTCAACAACTGATGTGGTGGTGAGCATATAAGCTATACACCAGCCTCTGGGCTGCACATAGAGACATGCATACATGCACTCTGAAACACATATGCACCCACGCAAACACAAACGTATGCATAGGGTACACACAGATGAACATAAAAAATAAAATGTGTGCCAAATGTTTGATTTATGAATTTAATTTCATACCACTCTACATGCCTAAATTTATCACAAAAAAATTAAGTGCCACACATGAGTTCCCCCTTCATTGACTGAGCTTTAAGTCCAATTAAGTAGCTGTTGATAACCTCCAAGATAAAAGTGCCACTGCTGTCCTATTATAGTTTGCTGTACTGGTCATTGTGCTTATTAGGTCTTAAGTTGAGGATGGGCCTTTGATTGATATTCTCCCTTAGCAGCTTGCATAGTGATCTCCAAAACTACAAGACTTAGCCTTCAGGGAGGAGGTTTCCTGGTCATTTACAGCTCCATTGCTCCAAGCCCTGTGTCTGAAGTATGTCTTGTCTTCAGGAATAGGGTCGTACCTACAAGTTCTGGGAGGCAATCAAGAGCTCTGGAAATAGCCTCTGTAATTTGGGGAGTACCCTGCACATGACTGGAGAGGTTATAGGTCTCTGAGACAACCCCAAAGCTGTCCCATCCCAAGACAAATATAATTTCTTACTTTGTGCTAAATATGGATTCTTATGTTTGCAAACAAGTATGCCAGTCACCACTCTTCAAAAGAAGCTTCTTTTGCAACAGTGGAAGACTATTAAAGAGTTCCAGGTCTGGTCACACACAGAGATGAAGTGTCTGTGAAATGCCCAAACCTACATGACCCATTTACAGTGGAACACTTTACACGGAGCATAGTGGAACAAGAGGTAGAGAGAATACTAATGAATCTCTCAACTCTCATCAATGAATCTCCCTTATACAACAGAGGGCAATGTACCGAGACTATTATGAAAGTGGGGGTGGAAAGACTGCAAAGGCTAGGGGAGGAGGTACATGACCATATGGAAACAGAGACTTACAGGCTTCTGGAACCTTGCTCATATGAACCTACAGCAATGGTGCCAGCATGCACAGGACTTAAAGAAGTTCAAGCAGACAAAAATCTAGCTTAGAATTATGGAAATGGCCAGTAGCCCACAATTTTACCTGAAGAACTGCTGGGCAGCTGATTACTTCTGGGTAAGGACTAGTTGATCTTCTTTAAGGGAATGATTCTAGATAGGATGATTGGACCCCAGTGGATGAACTTGCCTTGAGAGTCATAAAGGGACATTAACTTGACCTGATAGGCCTTAACATAAATGACACAATGCATGAAAACCATTGTATGTGTGGGGACAGATAAGGGAGGGTAAAGAAGGGGAAGGGCGCATACAGAGGACTAAGAGGACTATGTTGTGTACGAAATACACAAGAAAATCAATAAAAATAAATTTTAGAAAGGAAATGGAGGTTAAAAACTGAATTGATGTTTAAGTAGAGTATGAATGTCAAATGATTAATATGGGACTGGAGAGATGGATCATCAGTTAACAGCACTGGCTGCTGTTCCACAAGGCAGATAACAAATGTTTGTAACTCCAGTTCCAGGGAATATGATGCCTTCTCTAGTCTCTGCAGGTTTCCACTTACATACATGCAGGTAAAAGACTTATACTTCTAAAAAAATAAATAAATTTAAAAAATTAGTGTTTAGCAAGTACACTAAGACATTACTTCATGTAGATGTCGAATTTCCTAAATTTACTGCATATCATGTCTAAAGCAGCAGCAGATGAGAGTGCTGATCTCACACACTGAGAACACATTCACCTTGTAGTTTGCAATGACAAAGAGATTACCAAAATTAGACTTCAAAGTGAATGCAGAAACGCCTTATATTGGAAATGATATGAATTTTAATCTTATCTGTCATATGCAGACATACTGTCACAATTATTGATTAATAAGAACATGTACATCATGTGTTTCAGTGACTATTACAGTCATTCTCTACTTTTTCAACTTTTAAATATTTTTGAAATTACCCCAACACTAGAGCATACAATTTTCTTTTAAAATAATCTCACTTCAGTATTTTACATGAAATTCAAATTTGGAAACCATACCTGTGAATTAAATTACCATAAAGTAATTTGTAAAACCAGAGTGAAGAGTTTTCAGTAAACAACAATGTGGCACTTAGAAGGTGGCATTAATAGAACTGTTTAATGATAATGGTCAGTATTTTTTATTACTGCCTTAAGTACATCAAGTCCCCACTCTTAGCACATGGACTTGGAATCATTATTTATCCTCTGGAACCAAGGAAATTGAGGGTCAAATTTAGTGACTTATCAATGATTGTCTATCAAACAAGTGGTTTCATATTATAAAATGAATGACTTCTAAAACTGTTGTTAATCAAATTATCTTTACAATACTACAAATATCTAAGATTCCATTAAGTATAACATTTTATAATATATAGTTTTAAGAATTACAAATGTATTTTCAATATATTGATTTTTCTATAAGAACCTAGAATAACTAGCAGTGAGGGAATTCTGTGTTTGCTTTTTTTTCTTCTATGTTTGCTTTTTAACACAAAATGGAGTACTTTTAAAATATTTACTTATTTACTTATTGTGTGTATATGTGGTTGCTTGCATGTGCTGTGGTGTGCATGTGGAGGTCAGAGGACAACTTTGTAGAGTCAGTTCTCTCCAACTTTTAAAAACTTTATGTGTATGAGTGTTTTGCCTGTGTGTATGTAAGTGTACCATGTATATGCAATGCCAGTGGAGACCAGAAGGGGATGTCAGATCCCCTGGAACTGGAGTTAAAGACAAGTTGTTAACTACCATGTGGGTGCTGGAAACCAAACCTGGGCCCACTGTGGGAGCAGCCAGTGCTCTTAACCTCTAAGCCATCTCTCCAGCCCCCTCTCCTTCTACCTTTAAATGGCTCCTGGGAATTGAAACCAGGCCACCAGACTTGTGTAGCAAGTACCTTTAACCATTGAACCGGCTCAGCAGCCTTGGAATGCTTTTTAATATTAAAAGGAATGGACAGTTTATTCAGAACTTCAACCCCTGTGAAGGGGAAAATCTGACTGGAAAAGCATAAACTCCCATCAGGAAGCCTTCTCATTTCTTCATAGCTGAAAAATCTGTACCACAACCAAACAGATGGCCTGGTGTTTTCTGATATGCTTAGACTTTCTACAATTCTTGCTCCCCTCTCAAAGCAAAAGAATAAAGCAAAGAAATCCAAAGTAGCCTATTTGGGATTTGATGTACAGCATCTCAGTGAATCTTCGTTACGCTTTCTGTGAAGCAGCTACTCGTAGCCAAAGCTCAGTTTCAGTTACTACCAGTGATAAAATTATGTAATCACACTCTGAGATTTACCAATGCAACTAAAAGTTCAATTTTCAAGCTTTTAATATAAACTTTTAAAAAAAACTTAAAAAAAGAATTGCAAATGTATTTTCATATGTTGGAAACTAGCTGTCCTTGTAAACAAAAATAAATACACTATGAGTTTAATATGTGTTTTATGACATTAAATTAGGAAACACTTCTAAATTAACATTTCTTGAAATGACCAAACATGTTTGTATGATAGAAAATCCTCAAAAACAGAAAAACAATAAAGATTTTTGTTTTTAGACAGACACCAAAGGAAGTAGTCTAAAGGAAAGAAAGAAAATAAGAAAAAAAGTTGGCATCCCTGTTTCCTCTAACTGCTGAATCCCTCTCTCTTCTGCATGACTCTGATGACAGCACTTTTCACCTCTCTGTTCCTGAGACTATAAATGAGTGGGTTCAGCATGGGGATCACAATAGTGTAAAACACAGAAGCCACTTGGTCCTTTCCCAAAGAATAGGACTTACTTGGTTTCAAATAAGTAAAGATCAGAGTGCTGTAAAACACAGTGACCCCCAGGAGATGAGAGGCACACGTGGAGAAGGCTTTTTGCTTTCCTGAAGTGGAAGTGATTTTCAAAATAGTAGACAGAATGTGCACATATGATACAGAAACCAGGATAAGGGACAGCAGAATTGTAGAACCCGCAAAGATAAATATAATGATTTCAATGCCATGTGTATCAGTGCAGGAGAGAAATAGGAGTGGAGATGTGTCACAGTAAAAATGATGGATGGCATTGGATTTGCAGAAATTCATTGATACCATGCTAAACACAGTGACAGAAGAATCCATAGTTCCAATTACATAGGACGCAGTAAGCAGACCATGGCAGAGTCTTGTGGACATAATAACTGGATAATGTAGAGGGTTGCAGATAGCTACGTAGCGGTCATAGGCCATTGATGCGAGAATAAAGCATTCAGTAGCTGCCAAAAGAATAAAAAAGTACAGCTGGGTGAAGCAGCCCATGAAAGAAACGTTCTTCTTGGACGTCAGCAGGGTCTCTAAGGTTTTAGGTGTGATGACAGTTGAGTAACTGAGGTCCAGGAATGACAGGTGGGTGAGAAAGAAATACATCGGGGTGTGAAGCTGGGCATCTAGATGAATGATGAGAATCATCCCTGTGTTCCCCAGCACCGTAACCAGGTATATCAGGAGAAACAGCACAGAGAGGACCAGCTGGACCTCCTTGGACTCTGTCAGTCCCATCAGGATGAAATCAGGCTTGTTTGTGTAATTCCAGGTGTTCATAGTGAACTGCCCTGAACCGTAGAGAAATCAGAGGGGTATAGACTGTATGATTTCAAGGAGATTTTTGTGTATGTACATAACAGTATTTCATTTTTTTTGGTCTTTTTGAGACAGGGTCTTCCTGTAGCCCCAGCTGTCCTGGAACTCACTATGTAGACCAGGCTGGCCTTGAACTCAGAGATCTGCCTGCCTCTGCCTCCCAAGTGCTGGGATTAAAGGCATGTGCCACCATGCCCAGAACAGTATTTTTTAATGACATTGTATAACTGTCAACAATTTGTTAGTCAAATAGAAGTACAAACTGACTTCTGAATAATGTTCCATAAGTGGTAACATGTTTTGTTATACAATAAAACTATTTTAAATAATTTCCTTTAATGCATTTAGTCTAAATGAAATACTATATGGTTTGTACTACCCTTACGCACTTATTTTCCATAAGGAAAAAGATGCACAAATATCAAATAAGTTATGGGGACACAAGAGAAATTCATGTTGAGTTGATGATCATGTCAGAGTCCAAAGAGCATGCTCATGACACTGTGTTTCTCCTTATTGTTATGTCAGTAAACCTAAACATGTTACACACATACTTTTTCTTTGAAGCATCAGTTAAGACTAACTGAAAATAAGTATCTCTTTTTTTTACTGATCTTTAGTAGACTGCATTAAGACATAGGTATTGGGACTGGAGAGATGGCTCAACAGTTAACAACACTCACTGTTCTTGCAGAAGACCCATGTTCGAATCCCGCACCCACATGGCAGCTAACAACTGTCTATAACTCCAGTTCCAGGGGATCTGACAGCCTCTTCTGTCCTCTGCAGGCATTGCATGACACAGGTGCACTTACCTACATGCAGGCATAACAGTCATACACATAAAATAAAAAATAATAAATAAAATATTTAAAAAAAGACATATAGGTATTAATAAAGAAGGAATGTTTGCTTTATGACAATTAAAACCGGATTCATACTAAAAATTCATTATCAGAATAAGATCATCACTTGTAGAATCTCATTCCGTCAACTCTCTATTTCTGTTGCCCCCATCTTGATGTTACTTCTATACGTGCCAAATGATTTGTGCAAACATTTTTTTAACCTAGTCCTTGTTGTATTTTGGCTCTTTCACACCCACACAATTCCAATAATACTTACTCTGAGCCAAAGTTGATAGGAAACAAAAGGAAAAAATCATTTTCCAATATCGTGTGATTGAAAATACTCAACTCCCAAGTTTTCTCACTGTTGAAATAGGAAATCTGTTAAATGATCTGAAAATGTCAGAAGGAGAGCATTTGCTGTTGATGGGATTATTATTTATAAATTTTTGTGCATTCATTTTCTTAAATTTGGAAGTAAATTGGATTCTCCTTGATATTTTTCTCAGATTTTGGTCAAATGTAAATTATTTTATGAAGCGTTGGACCAAATGAATCCCAGGAGCTACTGTCAACATAAGCAGGGCAGTTTGTACTTTGATTCCCTTCCTTATAACTCCAGGGCACCTCAAGTAACGATGCTGAGAATCACAAGGCATGTGGTCATCCTCAGGGGCCAATTTCTAGAAAAATTACTTGGCTGGATTTCAGGGACCAAAGTTGAAGAACTAATTCACAAATGTTCTTTTTTTCCTGGGAGACTTACAAGGAAGAACAGGATCACTAATTCTTTTTGTTTTTTTTTCTTTTTTTGTGTGTGCTCAGTTTATTCATATGCTTATTGTATGCTTATTGACTTATTGAGTTTCAGAAGAATAATATTCAGGTAGCACTTTAAGTACTGTGGAAGGGAATGCTTTTCAGAGTTGAATATAGTTTGTGCATGACACCCTAAGTGGGATGCTAATTTTTTCAGAAAGAAGCATTTCAAATTGAAAAGTGTCATTCTACCAGGGTAAAACATGCTCAGTAAAACAACAGATTACATAAGAATTCACAGAAGTCATTGAAAGTTATTCTGAACTTGATCATATTATTTTAATTATTCTCAATTTTTCACTTTGTGCACACATACAGATTTTTTTTCAATAAATAACATTTTATATATTCATTTTTTAATGTTCATTTTAAGATATACATTTTATAGATGACAGACTGTGTTATGCTAACATTTTATAAACCTTGTCATTTCATTTACTCTATATTGGCTAGTGTCATTCACCAAGTGAATTGAAAATTTGTGCTGATAAACAGCCATATGTTTAAGTTTTAAAATTTGGAGGCTTGAGAGATGGCTAAGTGGTTAAGAACACTTGCACCTTCCTAAGTACCCAAGCTTGATTCCCACCACCACATGGTGTCTAACAACCATTCATAACTCCAGTTTCAGGGGATCCAAAACCCTCTTCTGGCATCTTTGGGCATTGCATATATGTAGTTCACTTCTTCCATGCAAGCAATACACTCATACACACAAAATAAAAATAAGAAATAGAATAAAATAAAATTTATTAATTATTTTTAATTTGTGTGTATGATTGTTTTGCCTGCAGGTATGTAAGTGAATCATTGTGTCTTATGTTCGGGGATGCTAGGAGAGGGCATCAGTTCCCCTAGACTATAGTCTTGGATAGTTGTTAGCACCATGTGAGTGCTGGGAATCTGGGTCCTCCACAAGAGCAGCCAGTGTACTGAACTGCTAAGTCATCTCTCCAACCACCTGATAACTACACATTTTGAAGCATTTTATGGATTGTTGACATTCCTTTATGATTTATTAATGTCATTTACTTCATCAGCATGTGACGCTTAAGCAGTTTGCCTCTCATCTCAGAGAATTTTATTTAAAAAAATGGCAACTAAAAGATAAATATGGAATTAGTAAAACTTTTCAATGAATTTATTGACAAAAAGTTCAATTCACATGACATAATTGGGCTGAATGCTTCCTGAAAAAGAATGTAACAATCTTAAAACCCGAGTTATAAAAGGCTAAATATTTCTTATAAGATCATCTTCTCAAAACTAAGATGGGAGAATATGACAATTTACAAAGTGAGAATAAGAGTCAAACATTCTTGGGAATCTTGCCCTGAAAATGTTGACATTAATGTCATGAATTGTTGACACTAATGAATGAATTCTGACATCAATTTTCCTGTAGCTGGAGAAATATTTCCTTAGAAAAAGTATGTACCTCAGAGTTTTAGGGTATAGTTTATTGGTGAGTCTTACTTGTGCGTATCCTATGCTTGACGGTCATTTGTGAAGTCAATGATGTTCATAAGAAGATGATAGTTGATGTTGATGAGACAAGATGATTAGCAGATTCTAAATCCTATGACAAAAAAGTGACCTTGAGGATTAATGTAAATGAGAGACCAAGGCTCACTTCAGTAGAATTTCAATTGTAGGCTGTGGTGGTTTGAATGTCCTGCATAGGCTCCAAGTATTTGGACATTTTTGTCCCCAGTTGGTGGCACTGTTTTTGGAGGTCTTAGAAAGTGTGGTGGTGCTGGAGGAAGCACGCCACTTGGGGTGGGTTTAAAGAGTTATTAAGCCTGGCTGGATCTCAAGTTGCTCTCTTGCTTCCTGTGCCTGCTTGAAGATGTGAGAGCCTAGCTTCTGCTCTACCCCCAGCCACCTCTGTGGCCATGCTTCCCCACCACGAAGAACTCTTTCCCCTTTGGAACCATGAACTCAAATAAACCCTTCCTTCTATAAGTAGCTTAGGTCAGTGTTTCTATCAGAGCAATAGATACATAGACTCACCTTGAGCAAGCTTCCTTTGTATATCCTTCCTAATAATCATTTTAGTATTGATCAGGTGTAGACAAGTTCATTTTCACAAGACACATATGTCAGTAGATTTGAAAATCTTTTCAGACAGTTTACTTCACTTACAGTTTAAAAATTAATGCAGTTTAATTCCTGGTCCTTGTGCCTTGTTTGGTTGGTTCCAATCCCTTCTCCTGAATTGCTTCTATTACATTTTCATTACTTGGCTCATTAGAGTGTGAAGACATTTTCTTTTCTCTATATTCTTTATTTTTACATAACTGTATTGGCATAAGTTAGTTGCCATGCTAATACTTTTCATCCTCAGTTTTTTACAGCTGTGTGGAACATACATAGATCATGTTATCTTCCCCCGTTTTCCTGCTTTGTCTGTTCTGCTCACACTGGCTATTCATTTTCCTTTTTCCAAGCAGTACCTGTTTAAAATTTCAAGTTTTTTTTTCACATGTAAATGAAAACATGTGACATTTGTTTTCCTCAGTCTAGCTATTTTAATTAAGACAGTATGTCCATTTACACCCATGTTTTAAAGAAATAACAGGATTTGGCATGTCTAATTTCTAAAGAATACTTGATTCTGTATATATGGCACATTGTCTTTAACCTGTGCTCTGTGGATGGGGTACCTTGGCTGCATCCATGTGTTGGCTGCTGCGAATAGTGTCATAACCTGAGTATACAGCTCTTCAATGTGTGATGTCTGTGCTTTCTATAAGTATAGATTCAAGACTGGTGTAGCTGTGTTACAAGGTTGTTCATTGTCCAACCAACACAGAAAATCCTAGCAGCTTCACTGTTTACATTCCAACCACATGCACAAAACTTTGTAATTTGGCTTCATTCTTGATAGTGTTTGTTGTTACTTATTTCTTGGTGATAATCATTCTCATGGACTATGTCCCAATCTCATCCTGACATGGTAGAGCAAGCCATTTATCCCAGAAGTGAGGAGGTAGAGGCAGTCAGATCTGTGTGAGTTACAGGACAGCCTGGTCTACATAGTGAGTTCCAGCCTAACCAGGGCTACAGTGAGACCCCACCTTAAAAAAATGGAATGTCATTGTTTATTACTAGCAAAAAAGGCATAAAACTGATCAGACTAAGACTTCCTGGCTTGGATAAAGCATCAACTTTCCAGTATCACTGGACAATCCCTATGAAGGTGGATTCACCTTATGTCATGCTAAATAGATGGCCAGAATGCCTATTGTGTTCATGAGATGGTGAATTTTCCTTCAGGGAATCCGGCCTCCT